ATATGAGTTTGTATGTAATGTATGAATATAATATACAAGTTTCACTTTTTAAATGGAATTACTGAAATAAATCTACTTTTTCATGATATTCTAATTTTATGACCAGCACCTGTAAATACATCCTACCTGGGGATGGAGGGCTGTGTGGTCAGGGGGGCGGCGATGAGGCTGGATTTCTGCAGCCCGTGTGGTTCGTCTTCGGGCCGAAGCTCGTCTTCAGACTTTAACCTCCGACGAACGGGTTTAGGGGGAGGAGCCAGCGGTCCTGACGAGCCCTTGGCCTGATGGGAAAAACAACCCTGCTTACTGGAAGAGGAGTGGATGTTTTTACAGAAACTACTTCCTGTTTACACAAATGTTTTGTTTGTGCAACAAAGACGTACAGAGTTGACTGAAGCAGAGCTTCTCTCGTCTGCTGGACCGTCACTCTTTACGGTTCTTAAAGGGCCGGCGCCCTCCGACATCTTGTCCCCCTGAGGACATGAGAAACACAAATAAATCTGTTTGTATAACCAGGGGTGGGCAGCCAGTCCAGATCCTGAAACCTGCTGCAGGCTCCGCCCACCTGTCCCGCCTCCYTGTGCTTGTCCACCTCAGGCAGGCTGGAGGGCTGCTCAGAGGCAGCCAAGGCCTGAAACTGGCTGAAGTCTGCGAAGTTGGGCTGCTGAGGAATCTGCTGGGGGGAGGTGGTGGCGGTGAGCGTAGCTCCGCCCCCAGGAACACCCTCAGCCTCCGCACGGTGCCCTGCGAGCGGTACGGATGTCTACGAGCAGACGGACAGTTAACAGCAGAGGAAAAGCTTATTAATTGTTTTTGTTTGTTTGTTTGTTTTGAGGGGGGGTACCTGTGTGGGCAGCGGGCGAGGGGGCACCGCGGGAGGGAAGGCGGTGGAGGAGGGTTGGGCTTGTCCTGGCGTAGACGTGGCAGCAAAGCTGCGGTTCATGTCCAGAGAAGAAGAACGAGAGTGGGAGGGCTGGGGGCGGGGAGGAGGAGGAGGCGGAGCTACCACCTTCAGGGCTTCTGGAGACGCACCTGACTGAGACCTGAACACACAAACAAACAGGTAAACAAACAAACAAACAGGTAAACAATCATGAGCTCAGAGCTGGTCTAAACTCCAGCTCTTTTCCAAACAAACAAACAAACAAACAAACAAACAAACAAACAAACAAACAAACAAACAAACAAACACACACAGCGTACCTCTGTCTGCTGGTGGGTTCTTGGTCTGAGGTGAAGGAGTCTGAACTGCTGTAACCATCACCTGACGAGGGATGAAAGGACAATAATTAATCTGGACCCAGAATCTAAWMAAGTCTAGCTCCTCCCATCAGAASTACAGAACCAAACTAATGAAGTGGACCTCAGGAGTGTTGCAGTTGTTTGTGTGTTTTCATGGCAGTGTGACGGCGCCACACACAGGATGGGCACAGGTACTACGAGCTGGATCATTTCTAAAACCATAAATAAAACTAGAAACTGAGTGAAACCTTCTGCCTGGACCCGAGCTAAAGTGTGCAGCTGCTGAGCTGTGATTGGTGGAACAAAGGTCTGCTGGATGCTGATTGGCTGTCACTCACCTGCAGACACTTTTAGCCAAATTTTACCATAAACCAACGAGCTGCCTGAGGATCTCTGTAAATTACTTTAGTTTAGTTGAAGTTATTCTAATATTTGAGACTAAACCTACAGTGTAAACATTTTAAAGACCTCAAAGATGGATTTAAGACATTTTCAGGCTAATTAAGGCCTTAAAGACTTGAAGGATCTGCAGGGTATGACATCATCACTAAAAAACAACTGTCTCTGTTTTAAGTTTCTGTTCTTCTTGACAACCTCTACATGCAATCTGTCTGCAACTTTTACATTAATTATTCACAAAGAAAGAAAGCAATGCTACAGAAACCTCTGTTAACCTATTTTCTTGTAAAAGGGTTCATCATGTGTTTGATTTGAACATTTCCAGCTCTGACTCTGCAGCCAGTTTATTTTATTATATTTATTTTGTTAACTCACCCACAGTGTTGGCAGCTACAAACTTCATGGAAGCGGTGAGTTTGGCTTCTTCAGACAGCTCCGGAGGTTTTGCCAGCAGAGGACTGGTGGGGTGCGTGTGGTCTGCAGGTTAAAACACAGAAAATATGGAGCCTAACAGTAAATAAACAGTATAATTAGCCTGTTATTATTATTATTATTATTATTATTAATTACTGCGTTATTTATTTGAAAAATGACAGCACTTACCGCTGGCCGTCCTCTTCAACTCCATCTCCTGCATGTGGATCTTACTGGGGGTCATCCGAATGGGCACTGGATGAACGATGGCCGTGTCCTGGAGGGGCACACGCATCAACAAACTGGTTAAAAAGAAGAAGTCGTAACAAAAGATTAAATAAAACATAAGACAAATGAGCTGTGCTCCATTTTCTTCCTGGATCAGTGACTCCTTGTAATTTTGACTAAAACAAGAAGAAGAGTGACGTTCACCAACAGGAAACACTAACAGCAGTTTACCTGTTCAAACTGCAGCACTTTGACACAAATAACATATCTGGTGATTATTGTGCAGCTAAAATATAAAATATAGATTTTGTGGTTCTGTGCAACCTTTGTGTGAGCAGGAATGATCACTGAGATGAGTGTTTTACAGGGTTCATGTAGGTTTCACTAAGTTAAATTTAAGACCTTTAAGACCATTAGTAACAACTTTTAAGACCAAATCAACACATTAACAGAAACGTTCAAATGGTCCCAGAAATTTATAATAAAAACCTTTTATTACTATCAATTTAGTTATTAAAGAATATTAAATTTTAATACAAAAACAATAAATAATTTGAATGAAACGATCATATCTAAGTGCTGTGAACTGTTTTAACTGAGTGAAACAATCATTGATATCAAGTCAAGTCTGACTGAAAACTGACTTTAACAAGTTTAACAACAAGCAGTGGACATGACTGAGCTTCAGTTTGTTCTGCAGCTAAATAACTCTCTGTGTGTGTGAGGGGCTGTGTGTGTGAGGCTGTATGTGTGAGGCTGTATGTGGGGGGCTGTGTGTGGGGGGCTGTATGTGGGGGGCTGTATGTGGGGGGCTGTGTGTTATCAGGGGATTTGTAGTTGAATCATGACCAGTAACAAACTTACCACTTCATGAAGACAGATCAGGTCAACGTCTGATTAAAACTTTTAACTTTATTTATTTATGCAGCCAACGGTTCTCAGGAATGATCAGAAGTAGAAAAAATTAAGATTTGACAAAATTAAATTTAAGACCTTGGATGAAAATTTGGACATTTTTAATACTTTTTTTAGGCCTAAAATTTAGATTTTCAAATTTTAGACTTTTATAGACCTTTTAAGACCTGGCATGAACCCTGGTTTTAAAACATAAAGATGATAAATCGTCATTCTTTTTGCCTTAAAGATGGTATTATCATTTAATTACAACAACATTTTTATTCTTGAACTGCCTCTGAGAACATCAGAAACATCTAAACATGAGCAAAAAGACTGAAAAAGGTTAAAATGTGGCGTCTTCTAGGAGCTGAGCCAGGCAAACTGAACCCATGGAGGTGGAACATCATGCACAGAACAGAAGGAGCAGGAGGACTCTGCAGAGAGGGTTAACAGGTGAAAACATGCGGACTAAGTGATTGACTTACAGGGTCAGCTGGTGCAATGTTAGAGTCAAATTGGGTCAGAGTTTGTGAGCTGGAGGAGCGCTCGCTAAACGTCTCCCACTGCTGCAGGAGACACACAAGACAGTGAGAAGAGAAACAAACAAAAGGTCAGTCAGCTGACAGTGACATCACACGTTTACTGAACATCACGGGTCTCACAGAACCACCGGTGTGTCCGGAGGAGGGAGACAGGACGAGCCCAAATATCAGTAAATATGTTTGAGGAAGACGATGAGTGACGTCAGGATGGATGAAATTACAAACGAGTCACTCTGAGGAACTCATTCACAAGAATCAAATGAAAATCAGGCAAAAGAAAAACAGGAAGAGTTTGGGTGAAAATGTGTGAGAACCTCGTTGCTCTGGTTCATCTCGGGCCACGCCTGGTTGAGCGAAGGCATGGAGGGAGACTTGCTGGGGGGGACCTCCACCGGAGACGCCGAGTAGCCCACGTCAGCGCTCGGCTCTGGGACTTCTGGAGGTCCAAAAAAAAATTTTAATGAAAGGAATTAAAGAGACTGAGATTTCATGTTGATAACTCCACACCAAATCAGCCAACGGTTTCAACCCGACAACCTTAGAACTTGATGAAAATTGGCACATTTGTCAATTTTGATGTCAAATTTCAGGACAATCTGACCAGTGGTTCCAGATATTTGACCCCAAAACTTCAGGATTTTCTGAGAAATGAGCTTGAGGTTGCTCTGAAACTTGAGCTCACAGCTGACAAACGTGTCAATCCTCTTCAGAATCAGAAGTGACTCGACACAGAATGACTCGAAGGGACAGCCGGCGCACCTGCTGAATCGTCCAGGTCGATCAGCTTGGGCATGAGGCTCTCCGGCAGCTTCTCCGGGAGGTCGTAGCCGTTCTTTCTGGCCACGACCAGGTGGAAGGCGGCGCAGAACTCGTCCAGGGTCAGAGCTCCGTCCTTATCGAAGTCTGACAGCTCCCTTCAAACACAGCAGACAGCAGCTCAGCAGGACTGTGTGCATTTAATAACATCTGATGATCAAACTGAGGGGAAAGTCCAGATAAAAACTGACAGGACTCACCAGATATGTGACAACTCTAAAATGGGCAGCTTTGATTTAGTGAAGAACTCTTTAGCTGCTGAACCTGTGTCACAGACAGAGGTGAATAACCCTGGGCTCAGTGAAGCTCCTGTATGTTGTGTGTCTGTGTGTTCTCACCAGGTATGAAGCCCGTGAGGTCCGGCTGGATGGTTTTGAACTGGTTGATGTAATACTGCCGCTGCTCATCTGTGATCTTCCAGGGGTCGTCGTAGCTGCTGGACTGTCGCTGGAGCTCGTTGGTCAGAGCGGCCGAGGCCACGGTTCGTATCGTTGAGCTTTCCTGCAGGAAGCAGAATTACACACATGAAAAAAAAAAAAAAAAAAAAAAAAGAATTACACACGTGAACTTACAAATTATTTATTCTGGTAGAATGACAGAGTAAGGACTTCTTCTCTGAGAAGATGAAGCGCCGAATGAATTTTATTAAAGAGCTAAAACTGAGTTGTTAGAGGCTAAAAACCAGAACAATACAAGTCCAGCTAATAGCCAAAAAAGYCTAACTGAAGCAGGCTAAAAGGCAGCTAAAAGTGCCAAATTAATTTCCTAACAGAAGCTAAATGTGAGCTAAAGAGAAATATTAGCTAAAATCTAACTAAAAAACGTATAATATTACACAAAAGTCATAAATAGAAAAAATGCTAGCTGAAAACAGCAAAATGTTAGCTAAAAGCTAAAATTATTGGATGGCAAACTAAAAACAAAAGGTACCTAAATGTTAGCTAAAAGCAAAATGTAGCAACAGATAGCAAAAAGCTACAACACAACTACCAAAAGGCTAGCTAAGAATTTCAAAAGACTAGCTAGAAGCTACAAGTATTAAAAAGCTAACTAAAAGTAACAAAAGACTAGCTAAAAACAAACAACACAACTATCAAAAGTCTAGCTAGAAGCTAAAAGTTGATAACAGCAAAACACCAGCTAAAAGCTAAAATTTAAAGAGTAACTAAAAAGGAGAAAATAAGAAAGTTAAAGGTGCCAAAATGCTAGCTATAAGCTAATAACAGTCAAAAGGCTAAATCGAATGAACAAATGGCTAGCTACAAGTTCAAGTTGTAAAAGAGTGGCTAAAGGCTAATAATAGCAAAACAAGTTAAAAGCTAAAAATAGCTGAAGTGTAGCTTCATAAGAAGAAAAATATTTGAAGGAAGTGATCTCAATGTTTGTCTGAGGAACACCTTTGTAAATAAAGTTAAATATTTTGAACTGGCAGCATCGAACGAACGATGAAACAGACGTGTTGCTTTACAGACTCTGATGATGTGAAACTAAAAATGAAAAGAGAAGCAGCCTGAAGGAGTCTGTGGGCGGAGCTTCAGCAGAGAGACAGGAGCTGAGTGTGGTTCTTTATCAGATGTTTGTAGGAAGAGCTGCTGCTCTTTAATCATCAAACAGCTTTATGAACAACAGGCCACGCCGTCAAACCATGGATGTGTTACTCATTGAGCCGAGTCAACGTTTCATCTTGACCGTAGTGAACGAGAAGACTTTTTAAAACTTAAATAGAGTCTGAACATTTGTTACAAGTGGAGGCTTCAGTCGAGCTGCTCTACCTGCACCAGTGATGGGTGAACTGCTGGGAGCGTGCTGGACGGCGGCGTGTCCGCTGTGAAACTGACCCAGCTCTCCTGACTCGGGAGCGGCGGCGGCGACGACGAATGGGACGGCCATATGCCATCACCTGTCACTGGACCTGGAGGGAGGGGCGTTTACACACGTCAGTCTAGATTACACAGGAAGTACGACTTTTGAGTGTTTCAACCAGTTCACAAGCACACCGTGTGTCGCTAACACATTTATAGATGTGTGACACTAACTCAGTTTGAGTTTCTCATCAAAAGCATCTTAAAGCAGGAAGTCTGCATCACTCAGCCTGAGCCATGTCTGTAAACTGTGTGAGAGGCTTGTTTTATGTGGAAAATATTTCACAGAATCAACAACACAAGTTCAGYAATGGAAGCTAAAAGTTGCTCAATTAAAACAAAACAGATTAAAACCTTGAGTCTGCTTAAATATATAAATACTTCATGCTCAAATTAACAAAACGGTGTTCTTTTAAAGGCAAAAACATCAAACATAAGTTATAATTTACAACTAAAGGCTCAGAAACAGAGGGTTTCTCTTCCTGCTAACTTGTCAAAGTTCCCTCTGATTAATGAGGCTGTTTCAAACATGTTTCAGGGTAAATCTGACCTGCTTGTGCTTCTCTGAACTGCGTCCACACGGCTCCGGTCGCAGCCACCGCCGGCTGCCTCTCAGCGTTTCCTCCGCTGTGCTGCCGCTTGTGTTTCCTCCAGGAGTGAGGGGAGGTGGGAGGGGACTGGTGGGGCGAGATGACCGGGGACGTGGGCTCAGGCTGGGAGGACACATCACGGTAAAAACTGTTTGAGAGCATCGCTTTGAAGACTCGATGTGTTGCAACTTAACGAACAAGTAATGAATGATTATTTAATAAATGTATTTAATAAAATTAATTAATTAATAAATGTTTCACATCAGCTCATCATAACTGAAGTGTTTCAGATCCTCTCCACCATCTGAGGCACTTCAAAGCAACGAAAGCTACTTTAAAGTGTTTTTTTATGATAAATATGAACAAACTTTTGGAAAGAGAACATGAATAACATGTTGCAAAAACAATTTCACGTCACTGAGATGAACAGTTGTTGAGATATTTGCATGTGAAGTAACAGGAAGTGATGTCAAAGGGGAATGTTTGCATGTAAACAGAGCATTGCTACTATAGCTGTGTTTCCATTACAAATGTGCGAAAACTTTGTCGATATTCTGTTAATGTCGAAAAACACAGTTTCACAGCTGCAGTGTTTCCATTAAGTAAGAAATGTTCTTAAAGTCACGTGAATACGTTTGTTCTCATGATAAGTCATTACAAACATGGCGGCGATGGATGTAAACACATAGCATGTTGCTACCACGACACTAGCGCTCATCATCAGAGGAGACGTCGGCGTCTTTTATCGAGGCTTTCCAGAGACAAGTCCCTACTTGGGAGCGGCTACGTATGCTGTGTTTTTGGGAAATTGTAGTCGGTGAGTTTACTATTTTATACTACTTCTGTGATATTACTACTACTTCTACTTCCTGTTATCTTCTTCATCATCGTCTTTTTCACCAGTAGAAACAGACGGTTGTTGATCACGTGACTCCTGTGATGTGAAAAAACTGTTTCCATTGCAGTTTTGTGAAAAACACCAATTTAGATACGGCTGAAATAACACCTCATCCTAATGCAAAAACATTGTCGAAAAACGTATTTTTTTTTTTAATTGACGTGTTTCCATTGAGCAAATTTATTTTCGAAATTCTAATTTGCGCATTTTCCTGGTCAATGGAAACACAGCTAATGACTAACAACACAGACAGAAGGGAAATTTCTGATGTTTTTTTAAGATAATTTTAGTCTCTAAAAGAGAGAGATGAAGAAAAGTCAGAGTTTAAATAATATTGTTTTAATAAACAAAGACCAGAGATTTTTCTTCCTTAAAGTTCCCCTTTGATGTCACTTCCTGTTTCACTTTAGCTGAGCCAAATTCAAAAGGAAAATATGCCAGTTGTGAGACAAAATGGGTTAAATCGTGTGTATTATTCCAACTTTCTTAAATTTAAAGACGTTTTCTTTGACTTTTTATATTTGAAGATGTCACTGACACTTTAAAGGTGTTTAATCTGTCTTACAGCAAACATGGAGAGTTTCACAACAAAACACAGAAAGATGACTGGAGTGGAAAAGGTTAACGCCCACACTTAGTCAGGTCAGCAGCAGAAAGGCAGTGAAGAAGAAGAAGAAGAGTAAAGGAAGTAATATCCTGAGGTCAAATAAAAACATCTCTTTCTATCATAATCCCTCAAAACATGCAGATTTGTGTCACCTGGGAGGATAAATCTGCAGCAGCAATTTCAGCTTTAAAACAGGAAGTGACAAACCTGAGGTTCTACGCTGGGCGCCAGGGGCTGGATGACCTCGTGGGCCGGATGTGAAGTGGAGGGGGGGGGACCTTTCTTGTTCTGGTGACCCCTACCCGGAGGTCTGGGGATTACGGCGGTACCGGAGGCTGGATACAGGCCCTGGCTCTCTGCATCCTGGTACAGAGCTGCGTGTCTGGCTTCTGCCTCGTTCTTTCCCACCACAAACCTGGGCAGCGGCAGGTCCTTGACTGACAGGAGAGGAGAAACAAAGAAACTAATCCCTCAGAGCTCTGTCTGCCATCAAAGGTCAACATACAGCTGCTGAAGTCAGCTGATGACATTATTACCCAGAAACAAACAACTACTTCCTGAAAATGAAGCGTACTGAGAAGTCTGCTTTATTTTACTAAAATAAGGTTAAACTTTGCTCCTGTTTGTACATTCGACAGAGAGAAACAGTTACATAAAGAGGAGACAAAAAGACCTGTTTATTCAGTGGAAATACAAATCATGTGCTGGTTGTAGAGACTTAAATACAACTCTATAAGCAGGAGGTGAAATCTATTTTTAGATGCATCAAATCGCTGCAGGACCCTGAGTCCGTTTTAATTTGTGCTGCCTCTTTAAGTGGGTCAGCAGATTAGCTGCTTCCAGTAATACATGTGATGCTAACATTAGCTTCTCCATGATGTTTTCAATGGTAAGTTAGCATCTATGCTAACTGTTGGTCATCAGTCTGTGATTAAAGTGTCTGTGACATCAAGTTTTTAGTAATAAATATGAAGGTATTTTTGGAAAGAGAACATTGTTAACATGTTGTAAAACTAATTTCACGTCACTGAGATGAAAAGTTGTTGAGATATTTGCATGTGAAGAAACAGGAAGTGATGTCAAAGAGTGCATGTAAACAGCGTTGTTACAGCAGCTAACAACACAGACTGTAGAGAAGAATCTGATGTTTCTTTACATTATTTTAGTTTCTATCAAAGAGACAAAGAAGAGTTTAAAAATGTTTTTTAATAAACAAAGACCAGAGAGTTCATTTTATTAATGAGTTCCTCTTTGATGTCACTTCCTGTTTCACTTTGAGCCAAGTTTAAAAGAATATAGACCAGTTATGTGACAATGGCTTAAATCATGTGTAGTATGCCAATTTTCTTAAGAATAAATATGTTTTGACTTTTTGTATTTGAAGGATAGACATGTCACAGACACAGACAGATATTTATATTTTTAATCAGGACTAAATGGATGAAAGTTTGTCTTAATCAGTGATGGAGGTGGTCCTGTGGGTCAGTTCACAGATTACTAATTTAACCTGTTCAGACATTAGTTTGACTCATGAATCTAAACACAACGAGTCAAAATAAACAAGTTCAACAGTCGTTAACTGATATCAGCTAAATGTCACTATTTATCATAAAAACCTTTTTAGAGACACCTGACAGGATGGTAAAGGTGATTTTTTGTTGTTAATTATAGTCCACTGGTGTGTTTTTAGTTTGTGAGGCAGCAGCAACCTGAGGTCCTGTTTCCAAACAGACTGATGGGGGGGGGGCTCTGCTCTGCTTCATCAGATTAAGAATCACTTCAGTGTGTTACAACACCAGTCTGTGGCTGAATGTGACAAAGTGTCTGTGTTGTCTCAGACAGAACCACAAAGAGACACAAACAGGAAACACTTCTTTCTGGACTCACCTGAATTGAGGCTCTCCACCCTCAGAGGGAGTCCAGACTGGGCGATGGCGATGAGCTTTAGGGCGATGTAGAACTGACTCCGCCCGAAATGACCCAGCCGAGTGGCTCCACACAACTCTGTGATCTAACACACACACACACACACACACACACACACACACACACACACACACACGGATAAAAGAACTTATTAAAATGACTGAGGTCCAGCAGCAGCAGCAGGTTCTGTAATCCTGAGGCTGAAGGTTTGAGCCCAGCTTACATTTTCAAAACAGGACAAAATAACAAAGTTGCTGCTTTACTTTCTCCAAACTGTGCTTCACAACCGTAGATTAGGAGGTAAAAAATAATGAGAGAATTTGCTGCTAAATAAATTTAAATGCTTAATGCTGAAAGAGGTTTCCTGAAACCTCTTCTTGTAGAAGCTGAGGATGTTTAATAGACAAGCTGTTCATGCAAGTTCAATCTGAGCAGCTGATTTTTGCTGCAAGTAGGAAAACACAAGCTAAAAATCAGTGGTAAGATAACAAAACTGTGTCCAAAAAGCCAAAGAGAGCAGAACCGTGGCTCAAATGAACAGAAAACAGCAGAAAAAATGTTGAAGCAAAGTTAGAATTTGGATAAGAAAGCGCCACCGACCGACAGACAGCTTGTTTTAGCTTTGTCAGCCATCTTGAAAAGCTAATTAGCTTTCAGCGTGTGGTGATGAAGAACGATACTGGCTACTATCAAACCCCAGCTCAGAATCAACTGATTTAGCTAAAGATGAATGAACTGAATTGAGCACAAAACAGATTAAATTAGCAGGAAAGTAGCTGAACATGCTAACAGATACTCGTCAGAACCGTTGAAGCAGCTCTCAGTCTCAGAACGTCAGTGACCCCGGCTACAGTCTTACAATAAACACATGATTACAGTCCTGTTCTCACACATCCTGTCATTTTTTACAGTTTTTAATAAAAACACTGGAATCTGCTCTGGCAGCCCAATCCTGACAACTAAAGGTTCAGTCAATATTTATAAAACATTTTAAAAGGCTTGAAGGAGGATGAAGAGAAAAACTGGCAGAAAAATCTAAATATCTCAAAATGTATAAACTGCTGAAGAACCAAAAGTCACAGCAGGAAAGTCCTGAAGGAGCTGAAAAACACAAAGATGTGATGCAAACATCAGTGAACATTAGCTTCATAAGCTTTCACACAAATAGTCTGAAATGTGCACAAATATCTACGAGTCACTGGTGAAATAAAGGAAAGCCTGCAGGCTGCAGTCTGTAATATTAACCAGTGGAGTGTGAGGCGTTCAGGACTGTGATCCGCCTCAGCTGACTGGTCCCACTTCTGCTGACACAGCACTTTATCTGAGCGAAGCTCACAAAGCTCCCGTCACTTCCTGTTACCAGAGCGTCTCGGTGGGCCACGAACACTGAGCTCCCTGTGAAACTACAACACAGCTCRCCCCTCGTTGACCTTGACAAGGACGCTGAGTCACAAACTGCAAATATTGGAGCAGCTGAAAGATGCTGAGTCATCACGAGAACTGGTACAGACATGAAACCATGCTCAACAGTTTTTTCTAAAAGTTCTTTAAATAAATAACACAAAACAATGAAAGGTCTAGCTTTCCCTGCTTCCCTACAACAAGCTCCTATCACACCAAATATGAACTTGGTATTTGTAAAACTGCAGGAGTCGCAGCCATTTTTGTGTTGCTAATATCAGTTAGCTTTAGCCGCCATCTTGAAATGAGCAGACCCCAAAAGCTAACTGGAAAGATCAAATATTAGTCATCATTTCTAAGGGTGGCGTATGTACACAACTTGGTGTGTTGCAACACTGCTAATTTGTTTGTTTGAAATTAAACTAAATGATCTGTTAAATTACTAAGATATCAAATTATTAACTCAACCCAAAACATTTGCAACCTCCTTTCTTAATTAGCTTTCGTTGTTTCTTCATTTACATCACAATGTTCACAACATCACAGATAAACACTGCAGCAAATCTTCCCTTCAAATATAAAACTCGTGGTAAAACCAGTTCCACATAATGACGCTTCGATATTAACAAGGATTGGGGCTCAGCGCTCAAAAATACTATTTAGTTTTGGTCCTTGAAAGCAACACATCTGTAAAAAACATGATAAATTTGATGTTTTGTTGTCCCAAAGTCTGTGAATGCATCATAACTGAGCAGTTAGCAATAATGCTTCTTCGTACATGAGAAAGACTCAAAGCTGTCTACTGGTAATGTGTTGGTAAATTATAAAAACATTAAAGGAAGTAAACAAGGTTATTTAAAGAAGACAGATGTTCTCTCTGTGATTCTCTTCAGTCGTATAAAAGATCACAGGTTTTCACTACAAACATGGAATAAAACATTAACACGGTGTTGCAGTTTTCAACATATATTCTGAATTCTGAAATGTGGGTACGCACTCAATGTAAACAAAGAATCCACCTGAAGTCTTTCTGCAAACTTTACTCGACAAATCTGAGTGTGAGCACACGACTATTAAAACTGTTGATCACAATTATTGACCTATTTTTGTCACTTTGGTTGTTTTTGTAAGTAAATAAAATGACATGGTATTTGGCAGCCATTCACAAATACAAACTTTTAATTGAGGGACATGTTACCCATCCATTTTCTGTACACGCTTATTCCTTTCAGGGTACCGAGGGTCACTGGTGCCCATATCCAGCAGTCACAGRGCGAGGGGCGGGGCACACCTGGACAGGTCGCAGGTCCAGTAAACCATCCTATTGGTTGTTAACAATCAACAGGAGATAAAAAAGTGTTTTGGTTCTTTCACTAATGGGGCGACAGGTGAGGGTCTGTGCTGTAACCGGTGGTGGTCAGAGGACCTGTGGCTACAGTAGCTTATCACCATCAGTGTGTGAATCAGTGCTGGGCGGTATACCYGTTTACTGTTTTTTATTTTTGTTATGATGTGAATTGTCTGAATACGACATACCYGTTTAAACAGCCTGAACACGTGTGGAACGTTTCGTCGTGGCCGCCAGTGAAATGTTTCCAGGGGGACACTTTTCCTCACTGCACCGCTATGTGTGTTAGTATGGTATGATGAGTGGGGATGGATATAAAATCCATATGAGCAGAGGCCATATGTGTTAGCATGCTAATGTTATTGCTGCAGCTGCAGGTGGTGATTCTGCTGCTTATATTGGCTGACGTAAAAAAAACATCCTGTTTTCACCATCGTTGAACGTAATAAACACCTGTTCAGTGACGTGCARGGTTAGATCGAACACAACTTTAATGTGGAAATGTGGAGACGCGTGGAGACTTTAACGTGCTTATATTGTGAAAAGCCGGGGGGGGGGGGGGTATAGTGGAATTGAATTGACTGGTGTCAAGGTGAGTCGTGCTGTTAATCTTTATTAAATAACATAAAACAATAGACCAGATAATAATCTTTTCTTAACCTTCCTCCTTCATGACCGGACCAAAATGCATGACTACTGTCTGCAACCAGGAGGAGAAACGACGTTTAGAGGACGGAAACAGACACAGCAGAGGGAAACAGAAAAGTTAATAAACAGTGTTTGTACATTTTATTATCAGCTGACCTGTGATGAAAAGAAAAATACTGTGACATACTGTGAAACTGGTGTAAATGTTGAAAATACCGTGGTATAAAATTGTGGTCATACCGCCCAGCTCTGTGTGAATATGTGAGTCCTTAGACTTGATAAAGAGCAAAATACGTTCAGACCATTTCCCTTTAAAATATTCTCCATACTTTGTGAGACTCTGCATCTGCAGACAAATCTGGTGTTGAAAATCATTTATTTGACTAAACATGTTGTAATGAACACATGCCAGACGTTTTCAAGGAAATCAGTAATGAACCTGTGCTTTCATTCTGTCATTCTCTGTAAACACTGTGACATGAGGTCTGTTTTTTAGAATAACACCTGAATCCAGAAACACACAGATGAAGCTGATGAATGGAGAATAAAAGCAGCATTCAATGTGAAGCACAAAGAGGAGTGTAAAGCACACCTGAACAGGTAAGCACTGTATGTTTTGTAAAGAGGCTAACAGCAGCCAGAGGAAGAAGGTGTGTCTGTAGCTGTGCAGCTAACCAGCCCTGCTAACCTCAGGTGTATACCTTTACCTGCTCAGAACAGGTTAGCTTACCTGCAGGACAACTTCACTGGGTAACTGGGCCGCCCGGAACAGGTCCAGAACTCTGCCGTTAGAAGCCACTTTCTTGGTGTTGTCCGTGTCGCAGTAAACGAACAGGTCCGAGTAGTATTTCTGCTCCACATCACTCAGCGTCAGGCTCTCCATCGTCGGTGAACCCGGGGGCTACCACCCACCACCACCACCCCACTTAGCCAACGGCTGGGGCAGGACCCGAGGAGCAGGAGGAGGAGGAGGAGGAGGAGGGGGGAAATGGGCGAGACTTCAGGGTCCCAACTCGGCGGAGCTAACGGTGAGTTAGCGGTGATGATGTTCCCAACAAACCGCGTCGACTTGTCGTCGTGTGTCCCCCCGTCCCTTCCGAACTCTCAGTCCGGGGAAACAGCACCGGTCCAAGCGCGAAGACCCGACCGAGGACCGCTTTAACACACTTGGTGAACTTGTTGGGCAGCAGAGCCCGAAGTGGCCAACAGCTGGCTCCGGAGCTAGCTGCTACCTTGAATCAAAGTCAGCCGCACTAACGGAGCCTAAACCGCCTCCTCCTCCTCCGGTGGGGCAGGGACCGGGCTAACTTCGCGCTGCGGTTCTTCGTCTGACCCGAATCCGCGACGGGATGACGGCTCCGAAGTTCCGCTGGAGGCGGGTTCCTCCACGGGGCCGTTAGAAGTAAAGTTTCAGGGTCTCTGGGCTCCTTCCTCTAGTAATCATAGCCGCCATTCCTGCCGTCCGTGTCAAGTCACCGGAGGTTCGCACGTCACTTCCGGTAGTGGTGTTTCAAAATAAAACGCGCACTTTAGTTTCCATTCTAATTCAATGTACAGTATATTTCATTGGATCGTTTTTAACACACACACACACACACACACACACACACACACACACACACACACACACACACACACACACACACACAC